AAGTCTCCCGTAGTTGATGATTTTATTAATGACGAAGACGATGAAACTTTAAAGGAGTACGTTGAAGAGAAAGTCATCGAATCTGAAGATGATGATGACATAAATGATGATGGAGACAATCAACAATGTAGCAACGACGATAAATAGAACTACATAATAGTAATCTTTGTCATTTTTCTCAGATTTTGTTTTAATATTATGATCTTATTTGAATTTATAAATATTGTTATTAATATGAATTTGTTCATAGAAATTGATGGCTGGTAGGGTAGCGACTTGCGCTGGCTCTTCAGGGGGAGCGCAGCCTCCTCCCGGTCCTCACAGACTCCCTGCATACTGTGAGTCTGGTATGTTATTCTAACTTTTTTTCTCGTTCTATCATATAGTAAATAAATGTAGTAGTACAAGTTGATTTGAAATGCTTTCATATGCTTACAGCACTTGAACCTCGACAACGTAGAGGGCGAGGTGGGGTAAAAGGTTATGAAATCACCTAAAAGGTCCTTCAAGACGGAAAAATCACAGTAGAATTTGATGAGGCGGGAGGTACTTGGAAGGCGCTTGGTAAATATGGTGCCTGGTTTGATAGTGCGGTTGGTATTCATACCAGGGATATATGCGAGCCTTTCCACGATGCTTGGAAGGACATTAGCGACATGGATAAGAGGACAATTCAGGACCGGATGCTGGTATTTATTTTATGCAATAATTTGTATAGTTTATACTATAGTTAACAATGCGTTTTAACGATGTGAAATTATTTTGCAAGGACTGGTTTAACGCGGACTATAACTACAAGAACGGCATTCTGAGGTCCGTTGTTGATAGGGAGGCAGCAAAGTACTACAAGGAGGGAATATGTTCCCCCCCCCGCCACTACAAACGCTATGGTAGAGAAAGTCTCCCGAGTAACATGAGAAATTAAGTTCATTAGGATCGTTGTTGCGATAGGTTCTCTGGTGACAAATTTCAAGTAATTATAGATTTGTTAGAACTTGATGATTTTTTATACATAATT